CCGGTTGCAAGTGCTAAGCAGAAAGTCAAAGAGAAAGAGTCGCTGCATAAAAGATGCAACTGCAGACGCCCTAATGAGTTGCAGATACTCTTCAGAATCCAACTAAAAGGTCGAATTTTCGAGTCACTTTCCGATAGTCTGGTTATCACTGCATAACTTTATTCGTAGCCATAACAGGGTACATCCTCTGGTACTTCCCTGAGATTCCCCAAACATCTTGAGTACCTAAGAGCCAACAACTGTCAGATGTTTGAAATTTGAGACTCGTTTTCAAGCATGTGCTTATCCCAGTGTTTGTGTATCCTGCAGTTTACTTGTGAAGTAGTTGCCGAGGTATCTGGTTACTTTGCGATTTATTTCGTACTTTTATGGGGCCTCATCAGAGGTAAAACATCAGGTTGCAATCTATTAACCTAGTCAAAATTGCTTCTGGGGGCTTGCAATGCCTTATTTTCTAAGTTTTCTAAGGTTCATGGATCCTGGGACCACCATGAAGTTCTGTTTTGGTCACATCCACCGTATCTTTTGGCAGCGAGTATTCCGACCATTATTATTATGCAAGCCAAGGTATCTATGCATCTCTTGAAGTCATCCACTCGAGCTTGGGCCGATCTCCATTTCGCCCTCTTCAGATGATTCTCGAACACGCACGAAGAAGGGGAAGGAGGAGAGAAAGACAGCCAAAGAGGAGGCAAGGAGGAGCGAAGAAAACAAAGTTTCAACTCGAGAAGATGACGACTGTCTTCGATCCGCTCGAGTGTATATAATGATGATTGTCATTTTTCATTGCCTCCTCCAAAACAGGATAGAAGGCGGAAAAGACGGAGACGGGTAAATTGGTAGAGCCAGCTTGGCCAAGAAGTTTCTATGCCAACAGATTGCGTTTGCTCAGGAAATCGTAAATTTCTTTAATGGCAAAAGCAGATGAACGAAAAAACAAATTAATTTTTGTACAACGGTGCATCGAGAAAACATATGTGAAATTATTAAAGATAAATTGATATCTGACCAATATTTTCTGCTCTCTCAAATTCGGAAAAGTCCCTTGTGAAAATTATTTAAACAAAACATTATTTTGCTCCACCAAAATGAGATTTCCTTTCGATACATCAAATTTGTTCGATTAATGTCGTAGTTTTTCCACCGATTTCCCATTTTCGAAGACAGAGAGAGCTGTTTGTATAAGAGAATCGGAAGAGATGCCAAGGCACAACAGCGGGCACTGAAGGGGGCGTGGCAGGGGCCCAGCCCAAAAGCCTGGAAGACAAGAAGAGACCGGGCCGAATGTGAAGGAAAGAAACCAAGCCAAACCAAACCGAACCAAACCAACAAGACACTTTGGGTAATATCTATAAAAATTGCTGTTAGCTGGGTGAAGACAGGGAAGGGAAGTGAAGTGAAGTGAAGTAAAGTGAACTGAAGTGAAGTGAAGGGAAAGGAAGGGGCGGGGCTGGGTCGAAAGGAGGGGTTCTTCTGAGGTTGTCAGCCTTTTTTTTTATTTCTCAGATACTTCTACTCAGCGATCGCGTTCGCGTTCAAGAACAAGACACACAAAGGAGAGAAGACCGAAAAGACCAGCTAAGAAAACCCAAGAAAGAAAAAACTAAAAACTTGTTCGGTCAGTGCGTCCGTCTGTTGGTGTGTATCTTGTATCCCGTCTTGGCTTAAAATGTGTCTGTATGGGTACCTGTATCTGCTGGCTCCAAGTGTTTGAGTGTATGTGTGTGTGTGTTGGCCATAAAGAAAACTCATTAAACAGGCCATGGCAGAAAGAGTAAGTCAGGGCGCACTAATTCGGCTGGCCATCATTAAAAGTCAATAAAGGCCAAGAAGAGCCGAGCCGAGTCGAGTCAAGTCGAGTCGAGATTTAGAATCCACACAATCCATGGATTGTTCTAGCGGATTTAATTGCAGCCGACACATGTGAGGACTGTTTTCATAATTAGTTTGGCCAGCACAAAACATATATATGCTCGGAGCGAGCAAAACCTCAATTCATCCGCTGGCCATTTGAGGCATTTTCCCAAGACAAAACTTGGAAAGTAGTTGTCAACATCGCGACTCAGGAGAGATGGGCTGGGAAAATGAATTTCATGTTTATGCAATGTCTATGGGAACAAATAACAAATATCAGAAACGAAGAAAAGCTGACAGCCAGCCAAGGCGAAAACATTGTAGATTTCCGGAAAAAGCGAAGAGTGGAGTGACATTGCCAAACGAAATTCTACCTGAATACCTTGCCAATTCTGGTTTCAAGGTGTGTCCCAAAAACAGGATCGCATCGGGATCGTCTGGAACGGAACTGCTCTGCCGTATATCCAATGCCATATAAAGTGACCGGGCAACAAGATCCTCCCCTCCACATTTTGTTTTTTTTTTATCATTTACAGGTTTTTGTTGTGTTGTGTCGGCTTTAGCATGGCGAAAGGCAAGGCGTAACAGCAGATTTAACACTTGAGAAATTAGCAGATTTCATATACCGTTTTTTAATTAAGTCTTCTTAAGTTACTGATGGGAAAGTTATACTTTTAATTGATACTTTTTTCGACGGCGGCGTCGATTAATTAATAAATGTGTGCGATAAGTGCTTGACTTTAATAAATTGAGACGCCGAAAAAGACTTTCACAATAATATCAGCTTTTAAGTGCGACATTTTTGGAAAAAGGTTTCGCCGGCAGCCGTGAGAAATTGTATATTTTTAAAGTTATATTTGCAGTAATTCTCGCCTTCACACTTCCTTCAAAAATGATGATATAATTCTTAGGAGTACCCTGATCATCTGACCGATCTTTCAATCTTATTTCCTATAATTTAGTTGCGACTTTTAGAGGCGAATCCATTGCGATCATAAAATGCTCATGTTACGATCCATAACCGAAGGCATGTTGGTCATGCATCGCCTTATCCCGACCTGAGCGGATGTCTATAAAGTGTCTATATAGAATATACCGCAGTCTAGGCGAGGGCCAATTAAGGAAACGTCGTGTGCGTGACTTACGAAAGTCAAGAAATGTATTTTTGGTTTTCGGGTTCGGGGTGCACACAGGATATACAGGAAATAGCTGAGGGAGCAGACACAGGAGCAGGCAGAAAGATACAAAAGTTTTTGAGCGATACTCTACGATGCTCTCTCTTTCGCACTCTGTCAGACGGATTCTCCGTCCCGCTCGCTCACTATATCGTAATTTGATCTTTGAGCACACAGCAAACAGCAAAAAGGACGCAGGATTCAGGGGTTGGTCGCTCCTGCTGTTTCGCTTTTGGCTCCAGGAGCCCAGCTGTCGTTTATTCTATATGCCACATAGGCCCTTCTGCCCCGATATAATGAAATCGAATGCGGTGGTTGGTTGTTGGTCCCAGAACCGTTACGTGCCACATTAAACCTGCAAAAAATAACCTAAAATTGGTGGCTAAATGCAGGCGATGGATCGCAGAAAGTTGAATAAACTTGGATTGGATCAAATTGGGCGTAAACGTGTGAGAACTTAATCCGCATAGAAAGGCTGAAAAAATCTCGGGTTGTCTTGTAAATGCAATCTAAAAGCAGTATCTTCGGTACAAGCAAAAATGAGATTGAACCATTTTGTCTATTTAAAAAACGTGTATAACCTAATATCCATGCTTGTTCATATGGTTCTTTCCCATTTGGTTCAACTTCCTTCTGCAGCTAAAAAATGCAAATGCTTTGTCGTTTGCAAAGATCGCTCGATGGCCCACGGCTAATAAACATAGGAAAGAGGTTAGGAGGCGGAAACCCGAGCTCAGGAAATGCCCAGGTATAGGCTCTTAAAGTAGTAGTTCAATGATCTTCAGTTGCAGCTGCAAAAAACATAGCAACATTAGGTTTTCTAATGTTTGGAACCGCAGTTTTGGTAACGATTATTTAAATGCTGGCAACATTGATCCGAATTGCTTGATGGATCCTCAGATTTAAACCAAAAGATTGGTTCATGAAATGAAGATAACTGGAATCTTTTTTATAAAATGAATATTAATGTACCTATATTATTATGCATGGTTTAATAGGTTCAACATTTAACAAGGCTTCATTTCTCCTTATCTCTTTCTTGAGCACAGAATTCCGCTTAAAACATTTCGAGTGTCGGGGAAAGCTGACATTTACCATGGCAATCGACCCTAGGTACACCTACAACCGATCTCTGCCGATATTTACTCAATGATTAGACAACGGTCGTTCCATATGCAAATACTAAACACCAAATCCCGTGTTTCTCTTCGCTTTGTCAGTTGTCAAATAAACCTTGTATATGTGTGTATAAAGCATAAAGAGGAGTACATTTCCAAACTTGAAAAGGAAGTTGTCCCCTCAAAAAAGCAAATAGCGCAGCAAAACACAAAGGAAAAAGCACTGGCAAAAAAAGGTTGCGTTTTGTCGACGGTAAAACAATCTTTTTTATTCGATCGTTTTTTTTCGAATAGGTGGGTTTTCAAATCCGAGAGTGCATGCGCAGCGGAGAGCGAACAAGAGATAAAAGGAGGAAAACGAGAGAGAGAGAGAGAGAGAGAGAGAGAGAGAGAGAGAGAGAGAGAGAGAAACGAGTGACCAAAAAAAAAAAAACGACCACCTGTCCGAAAACTGACAGCAAAGCGAAGCGAAGAAAGACAGCAAAAAAAGGGGACGCGAAAAACCAAAGGCACAAAAAGGAAGATGGAGAAGTAGGAGTAGAGTAAAAGGAAAACGGAGAATTTTGAATAAGTTTTAGAGCGCGTTAAAGGTTTGTCTTGAAATGCCTGCTCAATGTTAAACTCAGAAGTATGATATGGGATGATAGGAAGGTAGTTTATTTTATTTTAAATGAATTAGATCCTGAGCCCCATGTTAGGGCGGTACCATCCAGTTTTCTGAGTTGCTGATGTTTTGGGTGCACAGAACCCGCAAGCAGAGTTATAAAGCCTTGGAATTCCTGTTTGCGCCCGCCCCCTTTTCATCCAACTCTGCCCTGCCACTCGTTCTAGTCGGTCTCTCCTCTTTACTCACCAGTTCCGTGGACTGTGCTCGGTAAATTCGCAAACGCCAGCGCCAGCAGCAGCATAGGCAGCGACGCGGCGAGCATTTTGCTAAACCAACAACAAATCCAAGTGGTTTGTGCGCGACTGTGACGTCGGCTGCGCTGCGATTGCATCGTAATCCAGTTTTCCAGTTAACCACTTTTCCAGTTTTTCACCTCACTTCTCTTTTGCGCTTCTAGTTAAGTTTCTTTTGAGGATGTTTCTTGCGTTGTTTAATTGAGTGTTTCAATCACTTCCAGGTATGTTTTATAGTTTTAGAGCTTTGTTTGGTAAACTAGGAAAGGACGCTTTCCCGACGACGGCGACATTTTCATTTTTGAAACATAAAAAAAAGCCAAAAAAAACTACTTCCCGTATTTCAGAGGATTGAGCCAATATTCAAATTCAAACCGACGCCGCACTTTTTTCTTTTCGCTCTCTCCCTCTCACTCACGCACACGCGACTCGATTTGCAGGGCGCTCTTTCCGAATATCCTTGTTTTTATCCTTTCCACAATATCGCCCTTTGCAGCGGCCTTTTTCGTTGCATTTTGCAAATTCCCGTCCTTTTTTTCGGTTGCACCCACTTTTAAAAAAAATAATGCTGTTTTTCAAATTCTTCCGCTCGACGCTCGTCCTCGTTCGTCAATTTCAAACCGTCTTCTTCGAATGTGACCGTAGATCTGCCAAAATATCGGTCTGTCGAAAGTGGCGATGTTTTGAAACCATGCGATCGATGTACCGATCGATATCGATGTTTGGCCGCCGATATTTTTTCACAGTCCAGGGTGGGTGCCCTCGCTTATTATGTTTTTCCAGCACTGGATCTGGGCACCGTTTTTTTTTAACAAATGTATTGTTTATTTGTTGAATTGAATTGAATTTTAAGCAGCTCTAAATAAATGCGGTCGTTCTTGCCCACGGATTGTCCGAAATACCGCAGTGAGTTTTCTCTAAATTTCCCGTCCACCCGGTTTTTGAGCCGTGAAATGTGGGGTTGCAGTCTCGGCTAATGTGATGAAGCTCTCTTAAAGCTGCAATGTTAATCGTAACAGTCGGTGTTGTCAGCCCTGGCATAAAAAAATAAATCCTGGAAATTTTTTCAAACTGCTTGGCAAGCCAAAGCTTTTGAAAAAAAAATTTTCAGTGTTAATCTAGTTTGTGGAATTTATATGTTAATCTCGGGAATTAACTTTATATGAGTTCATATATATTTCTAATTATTGTAAAATTATTCAATTATAAACGAACAGTTTCAATTCAATTTTACCGCTCTGCAAATGCAAAAAGGTAAATTGGCCGAGTTAGGTTCGGTTTTTTGCGTTGGGCTTGAACCCCGACCATCCCAGAATGGAAAATTTTGAATGCAGTTCCCTCAAGAATTCCCTAACAAACATTTAGAAGTACGCCACTTTGGATTCGCATTAAAATTGGCCAAGTTATGGGATATTGAGATATTGCAAAGACACTGCGATTTGGTTTTTTTTTTTTTAAGCTAGCCAACCTTAAGTCGTATTTTTCATCTTAATATAAATAACTTAATTTACTGTGTAATTCATTTACCCACTGCGAAAAAAATCCTTTCGCCTTCTTGAAGTAAGATAATCACTGCAACCATTTTATCCTAAAATTAAATAAAAAACAAAAATATTAAATAAATATTTTGTTACAAATAGTAATAGTTAGCATTTATTTGTAAGTAAAAAGGTATTTACCTCTTTTGGTTATTGATTCACTGCATCTTGGAGTTCACTCCGAGTGGAAAGATATAGTCATCACCTGTAATGAAAGGAAGGACTTCGAAATATTAGGTAAATTATTTAATACAAATCAATTACTTCAAAAAATACATACCACAATGAGTTGATGCACTGCATCCTGGAGTGAAGTTCAATAGAAGATCTCGCCATTAATCCTTGCTCTTGCAAGGCCCTTGTAATAGACCAAATATGTAGTGACTTACAGCGGAACCAAACTCTGTTTTGAGCACCTTATGGCCACAGTTAACTTTTATCGCTTTTTGAACGATTAAAAAAAAATGATTTTTGGCCAATTTTCGCATTTTTGGCAAGGGGTAACATCATCATTTTTTGCGAAAAACGGCAAAATTTCAACATTTTTAGATGGGGATACCATTGGATTCAGAATTTAATTACGAATTCAACGCTGTATGCCATTCCACATTTGGAAGGGTATTTCCTGAGATAATGCAAAAAACTGGGTTTTTTTTGGCCATTTTATGTAGTTTTGGACAAAACAAACATTTGTTAATGGTAATATGTCTGTTATTTGGGCAAGAAACAATCAGAGAAGCCCAACAATCTGTTTTATTCAATGCAATTTAATTGTCATTTAACTGATCCTTTGAATGAAAACCTATTTGGTAATGATTAGTTGACAATTTTGGTAAAAAACACTGTATTTTCAGTGGTTTTTTGGTTGTAATAGGGCCAAATAGTGACTTACTGCGGAACCAAACACTTTTTTGAGAACCTTATGGCCACAGTTAACTTTTATCACTTTTTGAACGATTAAAAAAAAACTGATTTTTCGCCAATTTTCGTATTTTTTGTAAGGTGTATAAATCGTTATTTTTTGCGAAAAATGGCCAAATTTCAATATTTTTAGGTGAGAATATCATTCGATTCAGAATTTTATTTCGAATTCAACGATATATGCCACTCCAAATTTGAAAGATTATTTCCTGAGATATTGCAAAAAAACTGGGTTTTTTCAAGCAATTTTATGTAAAAAAACATTTTTTGCCAATTTTCGCATTTTTTGTAAAGTGTATAAATCGCCATTTTTTGCGAAATGGCCTAATTTCAATATTTTTCTTTTTATTTTTGCAAAAAATTGTGATTATACCAAAATAACAAACCTTGAAAATGTGTGTTTTAGCCAAAAAACCTTTAGGTTTTTTTCACCAGGTTAAATGGTGACATGGTGACGTGGTGTAGATCGATAGACGAGGTTCCCAGTTATGTAAAACGGTGGTCCTTTTAGCTGTACGTCATTTTGTGGCCAAGTTATACCAAAAAAACAAATCTTGAAAATGTGTGTTTTAGCCAAAAATCTTTACCATTTTTTCACCCAAAAATATCAGTATTTTAACTCTAGCAACAAAAATAAATGTCAGATTTCGGAGTGGCAAACATCGTTGAACTCGTAAATTCCTGTCGATTCATGTACTCACCTTATTTTTTTTTTTTTTGACCTTTTTTTGCACAAAATTGTGGTTATACCAAAATAACAAACCTTAAAAATGTGTGTTATAGCCAAAAAACCTTTAACATTTTTTCACCCAAGGGTGAAATGACCCCTGCAAACGGGGTCAGAGCAGATATGGGCGTTGTGGCTCCTATTTACTGCCCACCTGCATTTAAATGGGATACCCACCATTCCAATTAATTATTCTGGAATTTCGACACTATACTAGGGGGAAACTCGAAGTACATTTTAAGTGGTGACTGGAATGCCAAAAACAGCTCCTGCATAAGAGCCGCTTTTGCCTGATGAGTATAAGCTGGAACGCCACTTTCTAAATTAATAGTTGAAAAGGATGTTAGAAAAGCAGCTCAAGTGGAAGGACCAAATATTATATATAGTAAGAAAAGTTGTAAGAATGCGGTTACTGGAGATACATATATATTATAGTAGGCTGATTCCCTTAAAAAAAACGCAGTTTTTTTGCATTATCTCAGGAAGTTCCCTTCCAAATATGGAATGGCATACAGCGTTGCATTCGTAATAAAATTCTGAATCCGATGGTATCCCCACCTAAAAATGTTGAAATTTGGCCATTTTTCGAAAAAAAATTGATAATGTTACCCCTTACCAAAAATTGGCCTAAAATCATTTTTTTTTCTAATCGTTCAAAAAGTGATTGGGCTGGTTAACTGTGGTCATAAGGTGCTCAAGACAGAGTTTGGTACCGCTGTAGGTCACTATTTGGCCCTATTACAAGCGAAAAACCACTGAAAATACAGTGTTTTTACCAAAATTGTCAACTAATCATTACCAAATAGGTTTTCAGCAACTAACAAAGGATCAGTTAAATGACAATTAAATTGCATTGAATAAAATATATTGTTGGGCTTTTCTGATTTTCAAAACTATACTTTGTTTTGCTGTAATTTGTTTTTTGCCCAAAAAACAGACAAATTACCATTAAAAAATGTTTGTTTTGTCCAAAACTACATAAAATTTGACAACATTATTATATAGCTGCCATAGAAAGGACCGAAAAATCTTTTTAATAATATCGGTGTAACGGCCCGCCGCCACGATAAGTAAAAAATAAAACAAAAACACACAACAAGTAATTCTTATTAGCGCGGACAATCGATAATAGTTATCGATCACGCATAAATAATTACGCTGCCCTGGTCTAGCGATAACGAACGTATATCGAATAATCGTGTAATAATTTTTTTTTTTGCAAATTCAAGGGAGCAAAAAAATACAAATTATGATGATAATGGAAACCAAACTGAAGAGCCAATCAAAAGCTTTCCAATTCCCCGGTTTCCATACCTATTATGCTTTTAACCCAACACAAAAAAGCAAGGGAGGTACCGCGATTTTAGTCAAGCAAAACATCAGGCATTCTGCTCTGGAACCGATTGAAGCGGAATGTATTCAAAGCTCCCCTATCGTCCTGATCCCCGCGAATGGTATCAGAGCAGAGATGATCGTAGTGGCTCCCGTTTACTGCCCTCCCACGTATAAATGGGACACCCACCACTTTGAAACCTTATTCAAAAAATTTGATACTGTTCTGGGGGGAAGTACTAATTATATATTATGCGGAGATTGGAATGCAAAGCACAGGAACTGGGGCAACTACAGTTCTTGCATGAGAGGAAGGAACCTGGAGGAGGCCATAAATTACAGAAAGGACCTAGAAATTCTATCCACAGGACAAGCCACGCACTTCCCATTTGAAGAAAGCGTCCTTCTGCTATAGACTTCGCAATATGCAGGGGGTTGCGTAGACACTGCCTACAAACCCGCTCCACAAATGACCTAAATTCTGACCACTTGCCCATGCAGATCACCCTAAACTGCGATAGTGCAAATCCATGGCTGGAGGAACGACAAAACAAAGCTATTTTGACTCGAAGGACAAACCTGACAAAATTCAAAAAACTGCTGGAGGACAAAGTACTGTTGAACTCAGAGATTAAAATAGGGAAAGACATTGAAGACTGCGTGGACACTCTCCTAAAAAACATTAACACCTCGGCCATAGAAGCAACCCCTTGGATCCACAATGCAACTCGACATTTTACAAATCCATACCTAGTCAAACTTGACGAAAAAACAAATGCACTACTTGACGAAAAAAGGGAACTCTACAAATTTTTTAAGATCACCAGATCAACTGAAGCAAAGTCACGATTAAAAACAATCCAAAATAGACTGACGAAGGCAATAAAAAGACTCAAAGAAGAAAACCTGAACAACAAAATTAAAAACATTGACCCGAGCGACAGGGACAGAATGGACAAACTATGGAAAATGACAAAGGAAATCAGAAGACAACCCCAATCCGGCTACCCATTAAAAATTGATGCAACGACACCTGATGCTGAGAACCCCTGGACGAGAACTTTAGAAGAGAAGGCTGAAGCCTTCGCGACACACCTCGAGTCACGCTTTACCCCAAATTCGAAGAACAATATTACTGACAGAAAGCAGATACTCGACAAAATTGACCAATACCAAACCCTAATGTCCTCTACGAGAGATTCAAAAGCCCTCAGACCTGTTACTCTGACTGAGCTAAACCAGCTTATTGACTCCCTAGAGCCACACAAAGCACCTGGCTATGACAACGTTGACAACAAACTTATAAAATCACTTCCCACAAAAGCCAGACTCTACCTAATGCTGATATATAATAACATCCTCCGTACTGAACATTTCCCTTCTCAATGGAAGCATGCTACTATTACCATGGTCCTTAAGCCAGGCAAATCCCCATCTGCTATAAAATCCTACCGACCAATCAGCCTACTTTCTGGACTCTCAAAACTTTTTGAACGACTTCTACTGGTTAGATTATTTGAAGGTGAGGCGTTTTGTAAAGCTATCCCTAACCACCAAATTGGATTCAGGAGGGAACATGGAGCTGAACATCAACTCTCTAGGGTCGCTCAGTTTAGAAAGCGCCCCTCAGCCCTTGACTTCGCAATATACAGGAGACTACGCAGACACCACCTACGCACCTTTTCCTCTGCTGACCTCAACTCTGATAATTTGCCAATCCAAATATCGCTAAACTGTGACAAGAAAAACACGTGGCTAGATCAGAGCAAGAAAAACACCATCCTGACTCGAAGAACGAACCTGACCAAGTTCAAAAAATTACTTGATGACAAAATTCTTCCAAACACGGAAATGAGATCGGGAAAAGTCATTGAAGATTGCATAGACATTTTTCTAAAAAATATAAACACCTCGGCCAAAGAAGCAACTCCTGACACCAACCCGCAGGGAAACCGAAACAGAGTCCGCCGACATTTAAACTCTCACCTCATTAAACTTGACGATAGGACAAGCGCCCTGCTTGACGAAAAAAAGGAACTGAGTAAAATCTTCTAGGTGTACCTCACACTTATTTACAACAATATTCTACGGACAGAGCATTTTCCAACACAATGGAAACATGCTATAATTTCCATGATACTCCAACCTGGAAAATCTCCAAGTACAGTTAAATCATACCGACCAATTACTTAATTGTACCTATATTTTGCTGAATATGTAAACAAAGGGCAATAAAAACCCCACGGCTTAGTAAGGGAAGGTTAGTTCCCTTCTAAGACTGTGAGACAAAAGTTAAAAAAAAAAAACCAAAAAGTCTACTCTTCGGCTTATCCAAACTATTTGAACGCATACTGCTGGCAAGGTAATTTTTTCTATTTCTGGGAGCTCTTTTTCCTATTCCTTTATTTGTTTAAGTTATTCTCTTTCTAAAATTTTAACGCGCATGCATTACTTATTATATAAATGCATTACAGAGGAGCTGGGATGATCCGATGCGGCTGAAGAGCCGAGAATGGGGATGTGGCACTGCTTATATAGCCCCAGATGGTAATTAGTGTACCCAGATCAGCTGGTGGGATTAATCCACGACTATACGATATAAGATCGTTATCGCTAGACCAGGGCAGCGTAATAAGTTATCGATCGCTATCGCTTGACCAGGGTTGCGTAAATAGTTATCGATTGTCAGCGCTAATAAGAAATACTTAGTGTGTGTTTTTGTTTTATTTTTTACTTATCGTGGCGGCGGGCCGTTACATCTTTATTTTTAAAAAAAATTTTCCTTTCCTTTCATGTTCTGTCCTTTCTATGGCAGCTATATGATAATGTTGTCAAATTTTAACAACATTTTTTTCTCGTTTCAAGGGTTATTAAAAAACTTCATATTTTGAAAATCATGCTCGTTGGATTAAATCAATGAAGTTATAATTGTTTTTCCATTATTTATACATATATTTTTTGATCTTTCCTATGGCAGCTATGTATAAAGTAGAGTTATCCGATTTTAATAAAATTTAATTCGAAGTTCAAGAGTCGTTAGAAAACGCCATCTGAAAGAAATTAAGTCGATCTGATAAAAAACAACGGTGTGAGAATTTTTTTTTTTTTTTTTCATTCTCTCGTATGGGAGCTATCCGATATAACTATAACTTTTGGAAAAGTCTCAGCAAGATAGCTTCAAAATTGAGAGACTAGTTTGCGTAGAAACATACAGGAGGTCAGATGGACAGACGTACAGACGTATTCTGATTCTACTCGTGATGCTGATCAAGAATATAATTACTTTATGGGGTCTGAGGTGTCTCCTTCACTGCGTTGCAAACTTCTGGCTAAAATTATAATACCCTTTGCTCTGCAAGGGTATAAAAATATAGCTGTCATATGAGCAATAGTCAAAAATATGGAAAATTTATAGAAAAATCGTAATAGCTTCGAAGTTGTTAAGCTTTTATGTATTTTGTTCGACATATTTGATGACTGCAAGGGTATATAAGCTTCGGCAAGCCGAAGGTAGCTTCCTTTTTTATTTTTATACAATATATATATACAATATTTTTTTTTAATAATTTGTTTTCCCCTTACCAAAGGCCAAGGGACTAGTCAGTTTCTTTGCATTATTTAATATTTTATTTTATTTTTTCTTGTATGTTTATTTCAACTTATTTGACTTGTTCTTGACTTAAAGTTAATTTTTCGTTTTCGACTTCTTTTTCGCGCAATACCTTCTGCATTCTGCAATTCGTTTATGATTTACTTGGCTTAATAGGAATTTAATTCGATTTTTCTGTATCGTTTTGTGTTATAAACGTCTATATAATTGAACTCTTAATTGAATCGTTTGACAATTATCCAAAAAATGTAACGACATCTTTATCTCCGATTATCAGAACTTTATCCCGATTAAAATACTTTGCGCAAAGCCCATGGAAATAGCAATAGATTCGAGTGACAAAATCAGGGTAAATGAAGAACATTTAAAGCATTGTTGTATTACTCTAGGTAAACATGTATATTTGTGTATGTATATGTTAAAAAAATTAATTACAGTATTGGCTTAATGAATTAAGAACCCAACATGGAATCATAAGGCAGCATTTCGTGTTAAAAATTTTCTCTTTACACCTACTGTTATTTTTTGGTAGATCGCTTGAATGTTTTACAAATTGTTGCTAAGCTTTTTAAGTTGTTTACCGTTAAAAATTGTTTACATGTACTTTAAATGTTTATGAGTAAGCTTACAACACTATGCAGAAAAAAAACAAACATATTCTCTAATCTTAGCTAGTCATTTATTTTAAGCGTTGACATACACATTTAGGCTCTATACGATATACAGTATTCCACTTGCTCTTTTACATAATTGATTTAATTTAAGTTAGTTTAATTTAGTCGCTTAGGGGCTAGACAAAAAAATGTTGAGTTTTCACATGGATGCTGGATGCTGGATGCTGAGTTCCTCGAAACCCGATCAAGTCTGGATATGGGAACTATATCTTCTATCATCAATACTTGGACACGTGTAATATTTATTTTAAAGTTACTTTGGATTGTTGAAAACTGTGGTAATACTGCGTCATCCCTTTACAATTTGAACATTTAAACTCAAAAATTAGTTTTCTGCTAGATTATGGTACATGTTCTATACAAAAAAGACAAAATGCAATGGTGTTCTCCGTCATTTACCATCCGTTTGCTTTTGGCTTCTCTTGACCGGGTCAAAGGTTAAACTCAGCACTTACTCTATAAGTTTGCTGCATACTCTCGCATACTTTTCACATATTATATATATTTTTACATATATATTTATTCTAAAAGTGTCATACATTTTGGCTTAGAAAATTGTTTTTGTTCGCTGCTTGCGCAGCTTACCTTTCCCTTTTCGCTTTTTGTTACTTGAAACTAACTACAGGCGTTTTTTATATATTTTTTTATATTTATTTAATTGAATTGATGTTGAGTTTTTTAAAATTGTATGCAACTCGCTGTTTAAAATAAACTTTTGAAGTTTCGTAGTTGTTTTACCTTCTCGATTTTTATACGTTTCGTGTTTAATTGATATACGATTTTTTTACTCGATAAGTAGCTTAAGATTTGCACTAGTTGATATAATTTGCGGTTCCAAAATGATCGAGCCTTGCCATAAAATAATTAACGCTATAAATCACAATACGGTTTTTGTTTCGTGTTTCCTTTTTTTTTTTGCAAGCTTTTGCTTTACTTGTTTTTTGTGGGTATTTTTGCTCGCGGGTTTTCGACTGATTCCTCGGGGTCTCTTTGCTGTATAAAAACCGATCCCACCAAAGTTCGGTAAATGTGGAAAATCCAATCACGCTGAAGATCAACTCGAAAATAGTCTCCACCTCTGAGTCACAATTACTGCTATTCGAAAAAAAAAAAAAAACAGATTGCACACTAGAACTGCAGCTGCTTTCTACCAACACATTCACGGGCTATGCTAGTGGCTCCTCCAGTGCTTCATATCCATTCGATATCCATTTCGATATCCATTCGATATCCATTTCGATATCCATTTATTCAGGGTGCATCTGCGTGTGGTTCCCCTTTTAGACGTGTGTGGCCAGAGGTCCCTTTTGCGTGTGGCCTTTTCCGTTGTTCGACAGGATGAACTGCCCGGACGGACTCTGGGCACACTGTCCTCCCTGACCCCCTCCTCCTCCTCCTGCTCCTCCTACTCCGCCCCCACCAGATGCCGTGAGGGGCGTGGCCGCCAGGGTGTTGCTGCTAGCGGTGAGGTTCGAGCTGCTCCCGCTCACGCTTCCTCCCGCTGCCACGCCCCCTGGGCCGCTGGGCGTCGAGCCCCCAACCCCTCCGCCGCCTCCTCCTCCGCTTCCTGCTCCGTTGGGATTCCCAACCGGACTCGTCGTGATCACCGCTCCGCCGGCGAAGTGCTTGAGGCCCCCGTTGGCGAGGTGGGCGTGGTTGTGGCCATGGGCGTGGTTGTGGGCGTGCCGGGTGGCGTGGTAGGGGGGCGGGGCGGGCGTGGCCGCCGGGTTGGCGGTGCTGGGCGGCGGAAGGGGTGGCAGCAGCGAGGAGCTCGTCCGTAGGTAGGGGTTGCCGTAGATGGCGCTGAACCGGCTGTCGATGCCGTTCTGGAGCAGCGGTTGGCCTGCAAAAGTCGGGAGAAGCGTTGTTGTTGTACTAGTTGAGCAGGGAAAGGAGACTTCCTTTCGGTTCTTCAAGTGCAGGTGCTTACCGAGGAATCCGTTGGCCTGCTGCGACTGCTGCAGGTCGTGCCGCTGGTTGCGCGGCAGGCTGGCCACGCCTCCTCCTCCATTTGATCCGCCACCCACGGCGGCGGCGGCGGCGGAGTGGGGCAGCGTGGCCGAGTTCATGGCGCCGCCCTTCGCCTTGGCCCCGCCCCCCGCCGACGCCCCCGCAGAGGCGGCAGACGCCACGGATGCCGCAGATGCTCCCTCGCCGCCGGGCGGACTGTAGTCCAGGGCGTATTCGAAGTAGTGGGCGTAGCCGTTGGCGGTGGGCGGGGCGCCCTTGAAGGCGGGCTCCTGCTGGTTGCGCAGGTTCTTCAGGTGGCACTGCCGGCTGTACCGCTCGCCGGCGAAGTCGCCCGCGAAGCGCTCGTCGAACTTGACGGGCCCGGCGAGCGGGACGCCCAGCGTGGCGCCCTTCATCTGGACGTCGGGCAGGGGGGCGGGGGCCAGGCTGATGGCCAGCCCGTCGCCCGCCTCCGAGTAGTCCGCGTCGAAGGCCTTGGCCCGCAGCTCGCCCTTGAGCTCGGTGAGCTTGTCGCCGCCGCGCGACGCCTCCGGGATGACGTCCGCCGGCATGGGCTTCTTGCGGCTGCGCCGCTTGCGGTAGACGACGACCACCATGACGACCATGAGGACGAGGGCCACGCAGAAGACGGCGCCCATGACGACCAGGAAGAGGGGGATGCTGGTCGGCTCGCGCAGCAGGGTGATCACCAAAGAGTCGCCGCCGTACGAGTTGAGCACCGTGCAGTTGTAGCGGCCGAAGTGGGTCGCCCGGCTGTCGCGGATGATCAGGGCGGCGCGCACGCCCTCCGGCAGGTGGTGCTCCTCGAAGATGTAGATGTCCGGGTCGGCGCTGCTCATGTTGATGATCTTGCCCTCGAAGGACCAGAGGATGTGCTCCGCCTTCGGGATGCTGAACGCCAGGCAGTCGATCTTCACGCGCCCGCCCACCCCGCCGAACTGCACCTTGTGCGAGGTGATGATCGGCGCCCGCTTCACGTACACCGTCGCCTCGGCCCCGATCTCGGGGAAGCCGTTGACCACCGCCTTGCAGAAGTAGCGGCCGGCGGTCTCGCTGCTCACCTTGCGCTTCAGCTCGGGCTCCCTGCCGACGACCTGCAACGAGATGAGATTGGGATCGCTTGAATCGTTTCGACAATGTTTTGTCCGTCCGTATGTCCACTTGTCCGTCAGTCCATTTATCCGTGAATCCGACTGTCCGTTCGTCGGGGTGTGAGACTATCTGTCTGTTCGTTTGTAATAGGATTGTGCTTGCGACGGGTTTCCAATCAAAAATCTCCGCTGATTTGCCATCCGTCTGTTCGTCCGCTTGTGCGCTTGTCCGTTTGATACTCACCATGTCGGAGTTCTCGCTGATCCACTCGATCTCGGGCGTTGGGTTGCCGGCCACTTCGCAGCGCAGGCTCACTGTGGCGCCCAGGTCGGCCTCCACGCTGACGGGTCGCTGGCGAAAGACGGGTCCGACTGCAAAGGAAGAGGCGACTTAAGTGCCTGGGAGTGGATGATATCTCGCAAGTACTCACAGCTTATGTCCAGGGTGGCGCTCTCCTCGCTCTTGCCCACCGCGTTGGCCACCTCGCACTTGACCAGGGCGTCGTGGTACTGCCTCGTCACGTTGTGGATGATCTACCGCGGAATTGGAAAAGGGGTCATAGGTTACAATCGGATATCCCAAGTCAAGAGAGAGACTGCTGTGCTGTGCTTACCATTTTGGTGGTGAAGTCGCCGGCCATCAGCTCGTCGTTGACGAACCAGCGGTAGCTCAGCTCGTGCGGGTTGGCGTCCGCCTGGCAGCTGAGGATCACCTCGGCGCCCTCGGGGATCTTACCGCCCGCCAGGGCCCCGCCCACCACGGACACGGCGACCTTGGGCGCGTACTTGACCTCGAGCAGCAGCTTGGCGGAGCGGTAGGTGCGGTCGGCCGTGTTCTGCGCCTGGCAGGTGAACGTCGTGTTGTGGTGCTCCTTCTTGGGCGCCAGCTTGAGGATCGAGCGGGCGGTGACCCGGCGCGAGTCGGCCAGCGGCTCCTTCACGTACTCGATGCCCTTGGAGAGGACGTTGCCGAGGCCGTCGATCCAGGTGATCTCCGCGGCGGGCTTACCGCCCGTGGAGACGCACTCCAGCTCGATCTCGCGGTCCTCGGTGGTGACCAGGTAGTCGCCCTGGGTGATCCGCGGCGCCTCCGGCGGCACCAGCACCGTCAGCTTGGCGAACCGCGACCTGATCCCCTGCTCGCCCTGCGGCCCCGGCCCCACCTGGCACTGGTACTTGGCGTCGTCGTCCAGCATCAGCGGGTAGATGTCCAGCGAGAAGTCGCCCTCCTCGTCGCTGCCCACCATCGAGTAGCGCTCGAAGCCGCTCAGGTTGCGGTGCTGGCCCAGCCCGAAGTCGTCCTTCGTCCACTGGAGCGCGCCCACCTTCTCCATCACGCGGCAGGGCAACGTCACCCGGGAGCCCACCACGGCGGTCTGGTCCTGCGGCTCCATGGCGAAGTGCTGGCCCCCGCCGTCGCCGCTCTTGGGCTTCGCCTCCTCAAGGGAACCTTGCGCGGATCCCGCCGAAGAGGAAGAGGGGGACGAAGAGGAGGAGGAGCTCGATGAGGAGGAGGCGGAGTCGCCGTGGTGCGGGCTCTGGCCGGACTTGTTCTTCTTCGACTTGGCGTGGACGGCGGTCGGCTGGAGGAGCACCAGCAGGACCAGTAGGAGGACCAGAGGCAGCGCCAGGATTCGGCTGCTGCGCATTTCCTTCATTTTGGCCGCGCGGTTGTTAACTCGGCTGCAAGAAAGAGAAGGAATATATATAGTACATATAGTATTAAATATGTATAATCAAATGCATAATAATTCAATTCATCCGTATAAATCTTTTTACATCCTTTCTTCAGTAAATCTCGACAGTTGAAAGAGCGATCAGCGAAGGTTCACTCAAAGGTGGCGCTGCTGCTACCTAACATCCACCGCTAGGTGGCGCGCAGTTGAGTAAGCATGTACATGCAAACCTTCTAGGTTCTTTGTTCAGTCTAGTTTTTGTTTTCAAAACTTAACTTCACACAGCAGCTACAAGTATTTCGCCATTCATACTCTCCCTTAATTGAATTACACCTTACGCAATGAATGAAATTGGGATGAAAACAGATGCCATAAAAAATAATTACACGCCAGGCGCGCAAAGAAGATTCGACCTTTAAGCCGTCCGCCCCCCGCCCCCGCCGCCTTTCCCCTTTCACCTTTCGCTTCTCGCTTCTCGCATGGCAAACGAATGCGATGAAACTCGTTTTGTGGGTCAAGTTTAAACCAAATGAAAGGGCAGCGCGTGGATGGAAAGGAAAACTCCGGGGCTGCGGAGCTGTGGGGTTGTGGGGCTGTGGGGATGTGGGGCTGAGAGGTCGCAGGAGGGGGCACTGTCAGTCGTCTGGATTTGCAACTACAGCAACTGCTGAAAATGCAACTGCAACTGAATCTCTGCACCGGGCAAAATGCGCACAAATGTATGCAAGGCATGCACAGATAACAAAATAATGATGGTTATCCATCAGATCTACAACGAACTAGCGATAGTTCAACTCGTACTTAAAGCTACGATTTTGGCCTGGCGACTTTTTTTTGCAGCTATTTCGAGCGGTTTAAAGCAACACATTTGAAAGAAGGCGCATACTTTCGCGATCGATTCCGTGTACAAGTTGCAATGAGGGAAAACTCCGCATCTCCGCATCTCTGCAACCATTTCGAGCGATTTTTTAACGCTCTTTCAGCACTTTTTGCCGCCGTTTTTTATATTTCCTGTTCTGTTTGTGTGCGCTTTCCCATTTTGCCCCGTCTGAATGCAGACCCCATAAACAAACAGGCCGCCAAACATATGTATGACACATGGGATAGGACCACAACCACCCACCAACCACCACTCATCACCCAGCCCCCGAATTCCCCATTCATTCCCTTGTCAGTCGGTGTGTTTGGCCTTGGCATTTGCGGCCTTTGTTTGTTTATCGCATTTATTCTGCTTTTCCTCTTTCGGAGGAAAGCCAGTCGAGTCGCTGACCCAGGAGCCCTTGAAGCAGAGAGAAATCAGTCACACAACTTTGGCGCAATTCTGAAAGTATCTCAAATATTTCGAGCCGTATGCCGTATTTGAAACGCTCCCTGTCTAATAAAGTGCTCCCGGAATGGGTACTTCTTGGCCCGAAGCCCTATCCCAAACATTGTTCTGCCCTCCAGTGGAGCAAAGTGCTCCTGCGACTTGTGAGGACTTGTCGCGGTTTGGGTATTCGAACGGCCCACTCTTTGTTTTTTGTTTTTTAAGTCCTTATCGAGAGCACACGTTAGAAGTTTTTGCGCTTGTTTTGGCTTCGGCTTATCCTCGACTCTCACACAAAAGCCCCGCACTTCCCTACCCTCCAATCCCCTTTCCCGCCAGGCAGCCAGTCAGCCAGCCAGTCAGCCAGCCAAAGGTAATGCTAACGATTTCATCAAATTGGCGCCACCTTCGCCGGGCTGAACGGAAAACAAAAAAGCGCGGAAACACGAAAAAAGGAAAAAAGGAGCTCAGAAACGCGCCGAAAGACAGCATATACATACATATATCCACCCAATCCGTATCGCTATCGCTTTAGCTTCGGCTATACCCTTCACTTTTTTGGGGGCCTCGTTTCCCTTTGATACCCTCTGGAAGTGCGAGTGTTTCCGAGGGGGTTTCCTACGGATTAATAACTTTTTTTAGGGGGTTTCTTCAGAGCACCGAAGTAATTGGCCCAAAGGATACTCTAGAGTCTACACTCCAGAGTGCTGGTAAAAATAACTTGTGAGCCTAGGGGTGAATCACTAAAACGATGGCGATTGTTACCAAGAAGAGAATCCCCTTTCTGCAGGGTACTGCAGGTGCCGTTCCCCACGCTCCACACTCCACACTCAACACTCCACGCTCCACGTTTGCTGTCCTGCTTCTGTTGCTTGTTTACCAGCGCCATGATTTACGGCATTTGCACTTTGACTGCGACTACTGGGCTCCACTGTCCGTGTCCGTGTCCGTGTCCGCTCGCTTTGTCCGTCCGCAGAAAAGTCCGGGCATATATAGAGCCGGAAGTGCCCGGCGTGCGTATATGCCAGGTGATAAAGAGGAGCAGGCGCAGTGGAGGGGAAGGGGAGCAAAAGGGGGTTGGCAAAAGGGAGAAGGAAAAGGGACAAGGAAAACTGTGGAAAAACTTCGGATTGCTACGGGCTCGGATAGCTGCGCCGGCAGCAATATGCTTGCCTAAATTATTAAAAATTATAATAAAATTTTTATGACCATAAAAGGCCGGCGAGCGAAAGTTGCTCGGCTTGGAGGGGGCAAAGTGGACCCCTCTCGGAGAAGGACCCCATGGGTCCTTCGGCCGAAAGTTGTACAGGAAATGACTGGACATGATTTTTCGTGCACACATAACTTTTGTTTTTAGTTGCGGTAGATTCTCGGTGGATAGTAAAAACCACTTCCTCGATGCTCCCCCCTCTCCCCACCTTCCCCACTTTATTTTTTTCGTGCTTGGGACCTGGAGGTTTCGACTTTTCTTCTTCCCTTGTCCGACTTTTATGTACTTCCAGGCGAGACATTAGAATTACTTTCGGCCTGTCCTGGCTCTGTCTCCTGGTTTTATTGTCCCCAAGATCGTGAATTACTATAATCACTGCGATTGCCCAGAGTTATGTGAGTTGGAGCAGGCAAAATATTGGGGTCTTTCAGCGTCTGCTGATAAATATTTGGGTTGGCAAGTCCCGCCTGAATTAACGCTTGCACTGAACGGAATTAAAAAAGCAAGAAAGTTGGAGAGGCTGAAAAGTGTGCTATGAAAAAGGTTATGTTCGATCGAGGTATCGATTTATTTTCGGCACACTTATTACTGCCGACTAAACTTTTTCAAGTGTGACCGTAGCTGGAAAACGGTACATTTTTGGGAAGTCCTCCTTTCACTTTGAGTAACCCTGTCTCTTCTCCCACCCTCTTCCTCTTCCTCTTCCTCTCCCACTTTCCAGCATTTGTTGCGAACCCTTGTGCTTATTGTAACTGTAGTTGCTTAAGTTGGGTTTAGTTTTTGCTACTGCCGTTGCAGTTGTTGTTGTTGGTGTTGCTATTGTTGTTATTGTTGTTATTGTTGGAAACGCACGTGCTGAAATGCCAGCGCAAAAGAAAAGGGAAGCCGCGAAAGGGACAGATTAAAGGATACGCAGAGAGAAAATTCGTATAACCTTGGGGAAACAATCGAATTATTATTACTGCTATCTGCCAAAAAAATAAAAGTAACTTGTTTTTTTTTAACAAACTGTATTTTTTCAGGAACGTAGATTTTCTTCCTTCCAAGTAAGGCAAGACTCGCATTGGGATTTGCTTTGTGTACAAGCTACTTAAACCGGAGACGGGAAAAGCGGAAAAACACATGCCACGAAAACGCTAATGACACTCACAAGCAAACACACGCGTGTGTGTGTAGGTACCTACACCCACACAAGTGCAGTGGCCTGGCGACGCTGAAAGAAAAGGGCAGAGGAGGGGGAGGGGAGGGGGGCTGTTCCCAACATTATGTTAATTAGATCCCTCATGAAGGAATTTTCGCTGGAAATATCTTTCATTGCCAGCATTGGGTAAACAAAAGTTTTTCCTTCTCTTTATAAAACTACGCTACACACACACACCCACATTGTAGAGAAAATTAACACACACACGCGCGTTTCTGGATTGTCATGTGTTTATTATCCTTTCTTGGTTCCTATTTGCTGAGTTTACTTTTTACAACTCCTCATAAAAAGGAGGAGCATGTGGAAAAACCAAGAAGTATCGGACAACTAGCAAACGAAATACCATATTTGCAAGCAAATAAACATTTTCGGGGTTACACAATTTATTTAGCAACAAGGGAAATGCTTACCAAGAGGCAATCTGTTCTTTGCAACTGACTTTCCCGCAACGCAACAATTGGGAACAGCCAGCTGTTCTCAGCATAGCTGTTCCCAGCCCCCTGAATATAAGGAAAAAGCGCAAATCTTAATCAAATTTATGTTGCTCAGCTGCTGCTACTTGTTCTTCCTCTTCTCGCTCATCAGTGCCAGCCATAAATTAGTCAGGGGCGGTGGTGAGGAGAGGGCGTGGCCGGGCCAATAAATTCATCAATTTTTTGGGCCCCGAAAGAAAAATAGGGCAACGGAGGGAGGAAAAGCATCAGGAAAAGGAGCTAAGCAAAAGTTTTCGCGCCGCCTTCGCAATTGCCAACTGCTAACTGCCACGCCCCCAAATCCTCCTCCTGCCACACACCCACTTTCCCCTCCTCACCTCCTCACCTCTTCACCGCCCACGCTGTCCCTTTTAGTAGACCACTCCAGCTGAAGCCTTTTAATTGAATATTAATAACAAAATCCTGCATATTAAACGGATGCCGGCAACAAAGCAACTTCTCCATCAGGAACACAGGCAGCCGCAGAAAGGACGAAAACCTTTTGTTAATGTATGCACACATCTGTGAGGGATCACTGGGAGAAACAATTGATTTCGGGGTGCCCTTCGGAGGGGGGTAAACTGGATCTGGATACTCCCACTTTCGAGGCGCTGTTCAGGCTGTCAGGTTATTTCATAGAAAACTCCCTTATTGGGCAAGGAACCCCAGCCCGATTTCGCGCAGTGCAGGCGTATGTGCTGTGCCCTTTGTGTTGGGGCACGTCTCCTTCATCCCGAGCGAAAACTCGGACTGCCGACGATGTCAAATGTTAATGCAATCAAATTGGAACCTCATCCAGTTCGACGGGAGTGAGAAC